AAGGTAGGTAGGTAGCCAATTGAGTATGAGGTGATAGAAATATGGGGCACGTGTATCTCGAATTCAAATCGCTTCTTCCGTCTGACAGCCTCAATATGGGCTTTGTACTACTTGCAACGTTCTCGAGGTACAAAGAGGAAGAAACTTGCCGTGAATCCTTCGCGTACTACTAAGTCAGTCACTTGACAGAAGATACGTATAGTGCCTTGCTAAAAGTTAGTAGTTGGGTAGCCTAAAACACGAAAGATAAACGGCACAGTTGGGGTGGCTATGAAACGTCTGCTCGCTTACACGATTACAGTTTGGAGGCTTGCCGGGTTTTGAAGAAAGTCGAAAAGGATCTCCATTGCATCGAATGCAGCCCAACTGAACTAACGCCAGGGACAACGACCTTGAGAAATGTTTGCCTTTTGTTCCTTGCAGTAATGCGTGGGGTGATCGATAATGGCCAACCATGTTCGAGAATAAAGAGCCGTGGCTATAGAGTACTGGCTAAGTAAGATTCAAGGAGTTGAACTGACTTTGTAGCCACCAGAAAATGGCAAAGTTGACGTCTACGAGCCTAGCAAGCCCGAAGAAGCAAAGACTCTTGAGCTGGTGATTGCTCAAAGCTGAATAATAAGTGGCTGTTCGTTGTTGTCCGACATCACATGCGCTATCATGCAAGAGCCTTGGCATTCATGCTATAGACGTCAGCTTCCGCCAACTCACGGCCGGGACACCTCGTATACAAAATAGCCTCTCCTTCCATACGAGCTTACCGTGATAGGAGATCATTAAAGGTCCCCTATAGCCGGGGTATCTTCAACGACAAGGAGGTGTCCCGATGTGAGCTGAATTGTCAAGAAGGATTGGCATCGTAGCTGGGTGTGTCTTGTTTCATCATCAGACAAAAAATACTTGGTCCAAAGATTATAATTTCAGACAAACCCTATTAGTAGGTACCTACTGAGTATCTTCAACTCAGTGTAAGGCAGTTAGCTGTTGGCATATATGCCTTTAGCAGAGGGTTGAATACGTCTCAAATTGACCGCAAATCTATGAGTAAGGTGCCTTGATGTCCGTGATCTAGATGACAGTAGTATCCAATGTTCATGAGGTCGTCCTACAAATCGGTAACAATTCATGACGTGAACCTCTACGAGGGGACGTAAAGTGTTTTTTTATTGTGTTTTAAGTTATGATTTACTCACATCATGGATTAAAGCATATATTTAATGGCATATTTACTGAGAGTTGATATTGGTTATAGGAAAAATAGAGTCTATTCTGCCCGAAAGAGGGAAAAAGCTAATGTGTTATCTTGATCGAGTGGCTTGTTAGATTCCCTACGGAAGGGTGATTATATTTGCCGATTGAATGAATAAATTCATGACGTGATGACACATTTTGAATACATTCCAAGCAAGAACATGACTTTGCGCGTGCGGTGATTATGTTAAATGAATAGATTATAACAGATAACTCGGATGCCATAAAATCTCTTTTTATAGATAAGAATAGCAAGCTGCTATACATTCTACAGACCATTTACTCTGAGAATGAGGTGATTGAGGTGCTGTCAGTTCTGCAGTGTGTTTAGTGGTTTCCAGGGTGCCCATATCCACTAAAATCAAGACGCGACGCGACAGGACCTATCTATCAAATACGTCACATCCAATCCTCCCTTGCACGCACCCCATTAAAACCACTTTAGCACATAAAACGCATGCTACTTGAGCACTTCACATCATAACAACAGCAGGTTTTTTTTTTCTTGCAGCCTTGCAGCCACCTACATCCTAAATTCAAATCTTTTTGTAATTGTATTCGAATATTTTCAGATGGATTCTGCCGCATGATAAATCTTCCGTTTCAATGTCCTCTTCCGCCGTTGCTGGCATAGACGCGACGCGTCCAGCGCGGTCAAGGATTTTGACACCAAGCTCTGAAGGGAGCTCAAATCACAAAGATGAGCTGCGTTCTCCCCACGGACACAAGAGGAAGAGGGCCGACTCAGTAGCCATGGAGCATCTTTTAAAGCCGTCGATTGCTATCAAGGTTTGCGAATCCAAGTCGGGCACTGTTGAATGCTTCAGCTAATTCGTGGTCATCATGTAGCCTCATCCTCTGAAACTCAATGTCCAGCCTCGCATCCTCTATCCATTGATGGTCCTTCCCCGCGAACGTCTGCCTCTCTCTTGTATCGATTTCCACGCTACCAATGTTGATCTTTCTTCGCATCGATTCTTCGAGTCTCATATCAAGATCCTTGACTTGGAGAGTCGAATGGGCTCTGGCCCAGTGGTGCTTCTAGCCAGAAAGGAAGCAAGTCGTGCCGTATACGCTCTCGAGCGACAACCCAACGGAGTATATGTTGTATGCAGGCTAGGACACTGGGTAGACTTGGAGGCTCTAGCAGACGGCGCATCTGCTGTCTGTCGAGAACGCTTACGCCTAACTGCTAGAACCGAGTCTCAAAACCAATACGGGCCCTCCGTAATTACCACCCCACACATTCATAAGGAAGAAAAGATCAAACGGGCAGCCATCGAAGCTATTCAAATCCTGGTACGCAAAAGGCCCAGGTCGCAGTCTGTTTCAACATTGGCCGAGTCTGTTAAAATAGAAGCTGCCCCCGAAGCTGCGACAACCGCAGATTCCAAACTCCCATCGCCAACCTCCAGACCAGAAGAACTGGCACAAACCCTAAGCGAGCAGCAGGCCCAGGCATCACGTCCAACAACTGCAATGTCAACCTCTGGCATCAATGAGGAGCCCTCCCAGCAGCCGGCTACGGAAAGCTTATTCGAAACCTTAAGAACTCAGTATTTCGAGATGCTATACAAGTCCATGGTGAGACCTTTGAGCTTGGCTTTCGCTACTATAGCTAATCAACACAGGGATCGCTCGCCTATTTTGCCAAGGGGCCACTCTCTCGTGCTCGTTCTGTTTTCCATCTCGACCTTGAAGCTAATCTAGACATTGAGGATCTCATCGATTTCTTGAAAGGACTCGTTCTGACCACTGTCCAAATCGACAAAAAGTATCGTGAGACTGTTCCAGCTCTCATAGCCCAGATGAAAACAGTGGTGGGTAGTTCTGACGAAGGCCCAAAGAGAAAGCGCCGAGCCAAGAAGATGAAGATCGGAAAGGATGGGCTCTATCCACATGAAGAAGCACATATCAGAAAGTGGTGGGCAACCAACAAACCTGAACTGAAAGAGGACGAGACCGGCGTTCCCACTCAACAAATTCGATCACTTACCTCTATGCTTCGCACGAGAGAAACCCAGCTCCAGATGATAATCATATTGGAGATCCTGGCATTGACTCCTCTGAAACCTGTACACGGCACGGAAGATAGCCAGCTTCCCCTATTGCCCGGTGCTGCTGAAACTCAGGGTGACGTGGTGGTTCCGTCGGCCAAGAAGCGGAGCAAACACAATCTTCCTGTTCTTTTAGATGTCCACGCTGATCGATTGACTATTTGGCAATCTACTGCTTCCGATGAGCAGCTGCTTTTAGAAGACTCCCAGATCACTCAAGCACCGGATGGTCAATCTCAGCAGAAGGCGTCATCGGAGCCTCTGAAAGACTTTTGCGTGGACATCATTGTACCATTGTAAGCCTCATGTTTCCCTGCCCTCTCCCGATAACGACTGACTAGCTTCGGTAGCTTTTCCCATAGGCTCCCAGAGCTGTGTGATTCGATCAACCGCAAATTAGGAGGGCCTGTCATTGTGAAACCTACAAGGCCAAAGCTTCTGAAACGATCATCAAGCAAGCGCTCACCTAAGCCTGGAGCAGTTGCCAAACGCTCTTTATCAGGTCAGCCTACAAGGACGTTGCAAAGAGCTCTTTCGACAGAACAGCAGTCACGGCGAAGTGTTTCCAGAGGTCCTAGTAACATGATTGCCCTCATGCGCTCTGCAACATCCACTTCTCTGCCAGGAATCAAGCGAGAATCGAGCGATCCATCTCTGGTTAAGTCGGTTCTGAACGCTGAATCGGATCTAATGAATAGGAGGAGTGGGCCATTATCTCGGAGCAGCAGTGTATCCAACCTGCAAGACGCAAAATCTAACAAAAAGGCTCAAGTCGAAGCAGAGCTAAAGGAGGCTATCTCTTCTTTGAGAAAGCCTAACCGCGAAGTTGTCGGCAAGGCGTTGGCTGAAGCGGCTGAACGGCGAGCAACAGTGGGCTCTTCGGCCAAGAGTATGTATTCGAGTAGTAACGTTGCGAGTATTTCTAGCTAACCTTAACTCTCAGGAGTGACAAAGCCAGGCAGAAGCTCTCTAGGCGCATCTGTTGTGAAGGCAACGCCAGCAAACACACGTTTCAGAGATGTCTTTGCAAAACCACATGTAGCAGATACACCCATTATGAGCACTGAAGATGTCATTCCCCCCTCAAGCCTTCCCTCTATTGTTCCCTCTACTGGTCTCCGAGGAACACAGCGGGATGGCTTCCGTCAGAGTCCAACTCCTGACATTGAGAGGATCGGCAGTACGCCTACAAAGGCCGGATCGAGTTTCATTCGTCGGCCTAGGAACGATGAAGACGTTTTGCCATTCCCGCCTTCTTCGCCGTCTCTAGAACGACGAACTATATCCGCTGCCGACCTGTTCAACCCGATTGGAGTCACGAATCGAAAAAGAAGGGTCAGTTTCGCTTTCTCTCGTGATGACGAGCTTTTGGCAACGCCCGTAAAGGGTATGAAAACAAAAATCATAGACATGGAGAATCGGGCGGCTGAGCCCATGCCGGCCAAGTCGGTGTCAATATATGAGAAACTAGGATGGGATGACGACCTAGATGACCTGTTATGAGTTACTTGTCGGAACATATAGTGGTGTTTTTATGAGGGACATGCATCATTGCAGCAGGAGTTTCGGCATCATTAGAAGGCGTAGGGAACATTATAAGAAATATTGTATCGATAATGACATTAGAGATACGACACGATACAGGTAATATGATAGCCCGACATGAACACATTTGGTTTGAATGAAACGACATTATGCCGCTGCTGGCTCTACCAACATAGTTGGTAAATCTCTGATATCGACATGCTCCTGTGACCCTAGATCAACAACTCGCATGGCCTCGAGGCTCACAACGCCTTCTTGTAGTGCGAGAAATTGGAGCTCGACTACGTGACAAGCTCCTGGGGCAAGAGGACCGACACGGGTATCAGCGCTTAAGCAAACCACATCGGTTGACTCGACGGACGAGTTCCTCTGTAATGCATGGAGTACATTTTCGTCGGTGACCGCATCGGCAACATCTTTTTCACCATTTCGTCGACCACCTACTGAGGGAGGCCGTGTCATACGAACTTCGCTTCGCCGGCGCTTAGGAATAGCAACGAGGGCGAGTTTGCGGGGAGGCGCAGAATTCTTTTCTGTGGCACGGTTCACAATATAGACGGTCCAAGAAAAGACCTGGCCCGGGTAGACAGGTTCAGAGGGACCAGTGAAGGTCATGGTTATGCCAAGTTCTGTAATGGAGGCATCTGTGTTGGATGTAGCAGCCTCGAGGGTGGGCAGGGCGTCTGGACGAATGATAGAGGGCGACACCAGGGGATTTACTGCTTGGCCTGTGATAGAAAGTTGCGATGGTCTATGGGCGCGGACAATGCCAGTTCCAGCAGTTGCCGATCCATAGCCAGGATTGACTGGAAGAGTAAAGTCAAGCTGCGTAGACCATGACATGTTCATACTGGGCGTGCAGCGGCCCGGTATAACCTGCGCAGTAGCAGAGATTTTAATGTCCAGTTCCCGCATGGGGTTTTTGACTGTAACGTCGTGCTGACGGGGAGCAATGCGATAGAGGAACGTAATATGATCGTGAGACACGCAGGTAAGAGGTAGCTGCATGCCCGCGTCATTGTTGAGGTTCTCGACAGTAGCGTCGAGAATTGAAAGTTCGATTTGATCTAATGATACCTCGCATTCGAAATGAGATGTAAAGTCAACTTCGAGCAGTGCGATCACGGCTGAGCTGGTCGGTGCTGTAGTCGGCCTTGAAAATCGGATTCTCGTGTGGACGACAGGAAAGATCTTGTGCTGGACCTGAGGCAGAGCTCGTATATGCTTCGTGACATCTTGTGAGCGCGTAACGGGCGTAACTCTTGATACTCGCAGCGCAGATAACCGAGGCTTCACTCCGCCAAGTGCAGCATCGCTTCCAAAAGACTCGAGTAGGTTAAAACCAGAGGGCACACCGCTCTGAAGGTAGCCACTCCCCTTTCCAATGAGGTCAGTTGAAACCTCAGGCTTCATGCTCGCGGATGCGGTGAAGATGATAGCTGGTGCCGAGATTCGCGTACGAGGTCGACTCAAAAAGACGGGTAACTTCCATACAGCAAAAACACTTTGGCTTAGGCTGGCATCATCACCGCTTTCTTCACTTTCGTCACTGTCCTCTTCTTCCTTTTCTTCTTCTTCGTCCTCATCCCCCCCGTCGACGATAATGAAAGGATCATCAACATCTGGGACTGTACCTGAGAAGATGGTATCTGCCGTAGAGTTCTCCTTGCCATGGGTTTTGCTATTGACGATCTGGGCTTCGACTGATATCACTAGCCGATTGAGGTGAGTACGGAGTGATGTTTCATCTTTCCAGGGACTTCTGAGAAGTAAAAGAACATTTACCGTCTCGTCTGGGGATTGTTAGAAACACAGTGACGAGAGAGAATGTGTTTTGCTCACCGAAGAACAATGTATCCCTGCGTTTGATTGAATCAAGTATTGACTTCCCAGGCTCAACATCCTTAAAAGCTGCTTCCAAATCTAAATCTGTATTCTCCGGTATAAGATACGACAAATGTGACTGCTCAGCAAACTCAGTCGTAGGGTCGGTAATAAATAGGCTTCTTTTAAGCTGAGTGAGAGATTCAGGCTCATGTTGAGTCGCCTCCGTGGGTATAGACTCCCTGTCAGTGGTATTACCAGAGTCTGACATTTCAGTCAAAGAATCAAACCGAGCCTGTTATGAAGCAAACTGGGATGTGAGTACAATAGGGTCTTGCAAGTCGCGCGCATGAAGGATCTCGTCTTTTTAACTATCATTGACAATGTTGTTAGATTACCCGTGTAAGTCGGAATGCAGGCCATGCCCCTTAGCGACGTGGTCCCTCTGATAGAGGTCAATGACTTAGGTAATCACGCACTTGGCTTGGCTGTCCTGTCGCGACAGGAAATGATCTGTGCGCAAAAAGTTAGTGCTGCCGAGATTGACCTTTAACTGAACTGCCTCCGTGTTGGCTGACTTATCCTTCTCACCACATCGCCATCATTTTATCACGACCTAGGATCCCGCCACTACTTTGAAGCGGGCGATTTGTGTCGCGTACATAAGCCGCGCCAGGTGACAGTACTTTCAAGATGAACGGCTTCGGCTCTCCTTATGGCCAGCCTGTCACGGCTTGGCAGGAGCATCATACACCCGATGGAAGAGCCTACTATTACAATCCGACTACCAAAGCCACGCAATGGACGAAGCCTGAAGAAATGATGAGCTCAGCTGAGGTCCGTTTCTAGTGCCCGTCATTGGTGTGTACGTTATTGCTAACAAGCCACAGCGCGCTCTCGCGAACCAGCCATGGAAGGAATACACTGCAGAGGGAGGCCGAAAGTATTGGTATAATACTGAGACGAAACAGAGCTCCTGGGAGATGCCCGATGTTTACAAGGCCGCCCTCGGTACAACAAGCAAGCCCGCAACCCCTGCTTCTGCAACCCCCTACACGCCTCCCGCCAGCGCAGGCGGCTACAACCAAGCGCCATACGATCAGTATCGCGACCAACGCGACACTTATCCCGAGTCTCGTCAGATCACGTATGGGAACGACCCCAAAGTTCAGGCTTTTGTACCCGCGACGAACGACCCCGAATACGCCACCACTGAAGAGGCTGAAGCTGCCTTTGCCAAGCTTCTTCGACGAAGCGGAGTCCAGCCGGACTGGACTTGGGAACAAACCATTCGAGCAACTGCACGAGACCCGCAGTTTCGTGCCATCAAGGATCCTAAGGATCGCAAGGCTGCTTTCGATAAGTATTGTCAGGATGTTGTTGTCCAGGACAAGGAGCGCGCCAAGGAAAGATTGGCTAAACTCCGCGCTGACTTCGAGACTATGCTGAAAAGGCACCCTGAGATCACCCATTACACCCGTTGGAAGACCGCACGTCCGATTATTGAAGGCGAGACCATATTCCGTTCTACCAACAATGAGAGTGAGCGTCGGCAGCTCTTTGAAGAGTATATCATTAGCCTGAAGAAGGCACACGCTGAGAAGCAGACGACTCTTCGGAAGACCGCTATGGATGGCCTCATCGATTTGCTTCCCAAGCTCAACTTGGAGCCGTACACTCGATGGGCTGATGCTCAAGGTATCATTTCATCTACCCCGCCTTTCCAGAATGACGAGAAGTACCAGGGTCTTACCAAGTTTGACATTTTGACTGCTTTCCAAAACCATATGAAGGCTCTTGAGCGCAGGTTCAACGACACAAAGCAGGAGGAGAAGAACAGAAAGTTCCGAATAGAACGCAAGGCTCGTGACGCTTTCAAGTCTCTCCTTACTGAACTTCGCCGCAATGGAAAAATCAATGCCGGAACCAAATGGAGCCAGATCGTTCCTCTCATCGAGAATGACAATCGCTATACCGACGCCGTAGGCCAAAGCGGCTCGACCCCTCAAGAGCTTTTCTGGGATGTTATCGAAGAGGAGGAACGTGGGCTGCGTGGACCGAGGAACGATGTCTTGGATGTTCTCGAAGTAAGTTGTTGCTCCTGATGAAGCTTTCATAATTGGTTAGTAACAATTTGCAGGACAAGCGGTTTGATCTTACGCCTACGAGCGATTTTGAAGAGTTCCTCTCCATCATGAAGGATGATCGACGGACTGCTAACATTGAACCTGATATTCTCAAGCTCATCTTCGATCGAGTAAGTTGACCTAATTGATGTTGAGTTGTGTTTTGGTGCTGACAACTTACCAGCTTCGCGAAAAACGCTCGTCCAAGCGAGGGGACGATGATCGACAGTCGGAACGCCAACAACGCAGAGCTATCGACGATTTACGTGCTCACATGAAGCGTATGGAGCCCCCTATCGCCTTGGGTGATACATATGACAAGGTACGATCTCGACTTTTGAAATCAGACGAGTTCCAGGCCGTTGCATCCGAAGATGCACGACGCAATGCTTTTGACAAGCACATTCGCCGGCTGCGAGAGAAGGAAGATGAAGCAGATCGAAACTATAGGCGACGTGACCGTATGTCGAGCGAAAGAGACATGCATCGCCGTGAGCGGGAACGATCTAGAGGTGAGCGATCTCATCGTAGTGGTGGACGTGGTTCTCGACGAAGTCGCAGTCCGGAGCCCGATGCCTACGAAGCGGACCGACGCAAGGCTATCGCCGAGCGGGAGCGTAATCACCGTAAATCCACCATGGCTGAGGGTCTGCTGGGTGCAGATAGAAGTCGTCTGTCACCACCACCTCGTCGTGAACGAGAAAGAGATCGTGATCGCGAGCGGGAAAGAGATTACGATCGTCCTTCTCGCTCACGTCGTGATGATGACAGCTACTACGACCGCGAAAGAAGAGATCGAGAAGATGAACGCGAGAGACTATATCGCCGGCGTACCGACCGGGGATCACACGACGAACTCAACTATGGGGATGAACGTCCATCCGGCTCTCGACGTCGTCGCCCAGATGATGAAGACGAATACACTCGTCGTGATTCGCGCGATGCTAAGGTACGAATCCAAAACCACCCTCAAATGCACTGGAGAAAGCATAGCTGATCATTTCAACCAGAGAACTAAGAGGGAACGGTCTCGAGAGCGTACACCGCCTCGTGCTGAAGAACGTCCTCGTAAGAAAACCCCTCCACCTGCAACCAAGGATGTTCACTCCGGCAGCGAAGAGGGCGAGATTGAGGAGGATTAGAAACTGGAACCGTATGTCAAAGGCTATGGTTAGAGCATTTGGCTGCACTCTTCCTCAGTACGTACTGGCATTGTCAAATCCCCTGACAAGGTCCGTCCGGCGAGATGACACATGAGTACAGGCTTGCGGCCCCTTGTCGCCACGGCCACCCAGTACCACAACGGTGGAGACATGGCGAGTACATTGCTTCCAGAAGCAGTCTTTTGACCAGTATGTGTCTTTTCCGCTTCTTATATTAGTCTAGTTTATTGCTTGTGAATTTGTTGAGATAGTAGCCAACACTCCAGATGGGCGTGCGTGTCCAAGGTTTAGAAATAGTAAGGATTATTGACATCATTATAATGTTTCAATTCATCACTTTTGCTACACGATCCAATATCTGTGTAATTGAAACTATTTCAAGACTAATTCACGGCCGTTCCTATAATGTCAATTGTTTCCCGCGAGGTGGGAAACCGTAGACGGCAGAGGTACTAATACATCAATTGTCCCTCAATCTACGAAGCAAGCCATTTGCCGTTGACAGACAAGTTCTCGAGAAGTTCAAACACCTCGAGTGCCCATCAAGAAAAAAAGCCAGATTAACACAAAGGCTTCATAGGACCAGACAAGAGGAGACACTCTGCCGTCGCCGTCGTTATTCGTCTGGGTCGTCATCCTCGCTGACGCTGCGGTCATCATCTATTCCCAAGACTCGCTGCTTTTGCCCGTTCCCATTTTGAACGCCCCAAACGCCGTGAGAAGCACCGTCGAGAGAAGGGAAAGTCTCATCGTGGACGCCTTTAGCTCTTGTCAGGGGTCTCCTCCAAGAAGAACTGCAAAAACATGTTAGTGAATAATCATCTTGTGCAACTGCAGCGTTTGAACTTACGAAGTTACCGCTCATCTTCTGCTCTTGGTCGAGCTGAGATCCGCTCTTATTGATACGGGGGCGGTAGTTGGTGGGATCACGACGGAAAGTGACGTCGAGGTTCTTCAAGAAGGTGTTGCAGCCAGTAAGGAGCGATTCAGGCTTATTAGCATGAGCGTCAATACCAGGCTGTCCGTCGAAGACAATGACACGGTCGGCAAGGTACGTGGCCATGATAAAATCGTGCTCAACAATGAAAGCAGTCTTCTTGGAATGCATGATGAATCGCTTGATGACTCGTGAGGCAATAATACGCTGCTCAGAGTCGAGATAGGCCGACGGCTCATCGATCAAATAAATGTCCGCAGGGATACCCAGGGCAAGAACAATGGCAACACGCTGCAATTCACCACCAGAAAGGTTCTTGACTTCCTGATCAATGAAATCGTCGAGCTTGAGAGGCTTAACGACGTCAGTCTGAAACTGTGGGGACAGGAAAGACTGCTTAATCTTCTTGAAGAAAAGTTGGCGGACAGTGCCATCAAACTTGGGGGTGATGGTCTGAGGCTTCATGCTGATTCGCATCTCGGGGACGCTTTTCTGACTATCAGGCTTGAGGGCTCCAGCCAAGAGGCGGCAGAATGTAGTCTTTCCGGTACCGTTCTCACCCATCATGACGATGATCTCGGAATCAGTGAAGTCGCCAGCCTCGATGTTCAGCTTGAAGCTGCCGAGAGTCTTCTCCATCTTAGGGTAGGTAAAGGCACGAGATTTGTCGATAGCGAAATCATCGGTAGTCTCCGCAATACGGAAGGTCAAAGACTCGTCTCGGAATCGCAAGTTCTCAGTCGGGATGTGACCGTCCAGGAAGATGTTGATACCTTCACGGACGGAGTACGGGAGGGTGACGACACCATAGACGGCGGGCTTTCCATACAGGACACAGATATAATCAGAGAGATAATCCAAAACAGACAGATCGTGCTCGACAACAATTATATAGCCGTTGTCACGCAGGAGGGACCGTATGATCGAGGCAGCACTAAGACGCTGCTTGACATCGAGGTATGAACTTGGCTCATCGAACATATAGACGTCCGCAGCCTGGACTCCAACCGTGCCAATAGCGAAACGCTGAAGCTCACCACCAGAA